AGAGAGAGAGAGAGAGAGAGAGAGAGCGCGAGAGAGCGAGAGAGCGCCACGTGCAAGACGCACACAATCAAAACGGCTCCAAGTTCCGTGTTGCTCCTCAGTCACCAGGGTGCGCCCTAGAAGCCCGCTGCATTTCTAAGGAGACGATCTATTTCTCCTTTGACCAGAGGGAAAGAAATCATTATTGCATGATTAGTGGCTTCAGTTAGGTAAAAACAGCAGTGTCAGGGCGGGTGGTGAGGATGACTTGTATTAATTACCTAACGCTTGCTGGCAGGACAGTTTTATCAGTGGCTTGGCCACTGGCGGCTGCAATCCTTGATGGAAGGGCTGAGCTCCGAGCTGCCTGGGAGGAGGAAGGACCGGACCGTGTCAGGGATGCATCTCATCAGCTTTTTTCTGACAAACCAAATTCATTCCTTATGTAATTGATAACGGCCTCAGCCAATTATTTCACACATTACAATACACAGAGGCCCCCTTTACAGGTTTTGCAGGGCTGTAATTAGCTATGCTAATATCCCCTTTATTGGCCCTAATATTGCTCAACACCTTTTGCCATCCTGGAGCTCACTAGAGCCCCATGGTCTGTCAGGACCGCTGATTATTGAGAAGGATAGCTTTAATCAAACATAATTGCAGTTAATTTTTCTCTCCTGCTCTCTGTTGCCAGCGTCTAATGCCACGGACTCCTTGATATTCCATTAAATTACAATTAAACAGCCTCCTTTGTCTCTGATTGTCCTGAACAACACCACAAAGTTCTGTAGCCATTTAAAGGAGGGCTGTTTGGTCCTAATTGCCTACTGGCTCACAAAGGGCCAATTTACACAATACCCATGTAGAATTTAAACAGTTCATAATGTAATGGATATTACACAGGAGCCTAACACTACAATTAAAATGATTTTCATCAGATAGAGAAGCTCTGGTTAATCAGCTTCATAAAAGTAAATATAAATGAACTAATTCATAGCTTAAACACACAGAAACGGAACAGACTTTGAAATTAGTTACTGCCGTAGGGGCCTGCCCTTATCCTGTGATACCGACACTGGGCTCTGGCGAAATTGGCAGATACCGTTATCTGTTCTAGTGTCGTTTGAAATACCTTCATCCCTCGGTTGCCCCGTGCTTACGTTAGCTCCCGATTTGCTTGCTGGGAGCCGATACTAATGTCACCGGGACAACATTCCCAACTTTCTTCGCTGGATATAGGCGGCCAGGGCTCCATTGCAGCCGAATTGTCTCAGCAGGAAGGCAGGTCTGAGGATTTCCAGCATGAACCCAGGTGATCAGGACTGGCTCTCTGCCCCTCCTCCCTTGTCTGTCCCTCCCAGGCAAGGGCCCGATGCGTCCCAGCCCATTGCCATAGGACTCTGAGGAGGTGGAGAGAGCCTTCCAGGACCAGTCCTCCTGAGAGGCATCAAGAACGCCTGGCCCAGGGCTTCTGCTGGCTGCCGAAGAGGGAACCCCACTTCCAGAGAGGCAGGATCCCACTTTCCCTCCTGCTGACCGTCCCGAGAACTTTCCCGGATCTCACGAGCTGCTCCAAGTGGAATACCACCAGGGAGCAGGGGTGTGGGGCAGTTTGTCTTTAGCCGCTGTCTTCCCCTCTGCCTGCGAGAAACAAGTAAATAAAGCCCATATTTCAAGCTTGATTTACTCTCGTGCCTACTGTGAAAGATGATGACTCTTTAGGGAAATAAAGATAGGGTCAGGGAATTAGTACACATAATGGTCATTTTGGTGTCGGGCCGGCAGATGTAAGAGAAACACCGTACACAATTAAGCATAATGTACTAATGACAGGTTAGAATTTTTATCACCTCTTTGCGATCAGGCAGCAAATCCACGGTTAGCAGTAATAAAGAGTTTATTGGTGCCAAAGATTTTCTGACATAGGAAGGATTTTTCCTTTCATAACAAGAGAATTAAATCCTTTGTGTACTAGACTCTGAAAGTGAGATATGTAAAGTGGTTGTCAGATATTTCTTAGGAAAAAGCCAATTAAAGGGTAATTGAGTAAAGGATGAGAATTACCATTTAACGTCACATGTCGGGCATTCAATTTTCTATCCCCTCCCCTCCTCCCCAAACACCACATTGGTGCACCTTGCGGAACATTTTCCTGGTGGAAGCCCATCCACTGAGAGCGCGGTGCCAGGCTGCCAGTGCCGCCCCTCCACCCACGAGGGCTGCATTGAACTCCTTCATTAAAGAGGAGTTAGAAACAAAAAACAAAACCAAAGGCACCAGCAGCGCTCTCCCCGACCTGGGCGGAGTCAGTGACTTGGGCGTTGTTTGTTTACCCTTGTGTCATCAGGAGCAGAGTTCTTGACAAGGGTCCTGCACCCCACCGATGCTCACTGCAGACCTCAGGTGCTTCCACTGACATTGCAGTTTGGAAAGAAGAAGAGAGAGAGAGAGAGGGCAGGGGAGGGACTATGGGTGAACACATGTTCATATGTGTGCCTGCTTCTCGAACCCCATCATTCTCAGTGGGTTTAGGGTTCGTCCCCCGTGTTTGTTCTGTGGTCTCAAGCTGATGTTCGTTAGGACCCCAGGATGCCCAAGTCCGGCTCTCAGGGCTGTTGCAGGGCTGTTCAGGATACCTTCAGACTGCTTGGCTGTCTTGGTGGTAAAAGGACAAACGGGCTAAAAAGACACCAAGAAATTTAAAGCAACCTCCTCTGGAGTTGAGGAGGGGTCGGGGCTAGGGGGTGGAGGGGGGAGTAGAAATCTTTCATTTCACGAAAAAAGCCACCGTGGTGGGCCCCCGTGCAGGTACCTTTGCGGATGAGCAGCTTCTCGGCCGGCGCCTGCTCAGAAGATTAGCCGGGTGGTAATGTGGGGGATAATTGCACCGGGTGGCTGTCCCTGAAGTGAAAACCTAATTGCCTGACAGGACGATAACTTTGTGGCGCCCTCACCTTGTTAGGCCCTTTCTGATGCAGTTCAAATGCAGGGTGGCCGCAGGTGCGCCTAATTTACCTCGCTGCAGAACGCGTGGAGTTTAATTGCGCAGTGGTTGTTAGGAAAAATTGGTGGGTGGAATATCAAGTGACTTGCTCCAGCTGATGGCAGATGGTGTTAAGAGCATTGTGAGCTAAGTGTAGAGGTGAGGTGAGTTAATAAAAGATGTAAATTCTAGCCTAAAATAGTGAGGACCAGGGTATGTCAGAAAATTTAATTAAACGGCCACTCTTCTTTCACCATCAGTGGGATTTTCTTCTGCCAGGCTGGAGTCTTCTAGGATGTGTTGGAAATGCCATTAGAGAAACGAGTCTTAGGTCGATGGAGTCTTTTCTTTTATTTTCTCATATTTTAAGAAATAAGATTTGCCAGCATGGACTCTTGGACATGAGAGGTGGAACTCGTGGAGAACTTGATAAAACTTGAACCACCGACAAGTGGTCACATGGAATTTTGGGAAGACGCAGTGGGTTTGTGTGTAGCCTTGCCGGACAGGACACTGAGGAGAGCAGGGCCCGCCCTTAACCCAGGTGCCGTGGCCTCTGCAGGCAGATGCACATCTTGTGCAGGGCCGAGGGCCTCTGTTCCCATGGCTGGGCGTAGCAAGCCGTGCCGCCCCGGGCACATCCCTCCCACAGAGCCAGCTCATCCCCATTGTCACTGAGCTTGCAGGAGTGGGAGGACAACACAAGGGTGTTTTCATCACACACACAGACACACACACACAGACACACACACACAGACACACACAGACACACAGACACAGACACACACAGACACACACAGACACACACAGACACAGACACACACACAGACACAGACACACAGACACAGACACACACACACAGACACAGACACACACACACACACACAGACACACAGACACAGACACACACAGACACACACAGACACACACACAGACACAGACACACACACAGACACAGACACACACACACAGACACACACACACAGACACAGACACACACACACACAGACACACAGACACACACACACAGACACACACACACAGACACACACACACACAGACACACACACACAGACACACACACAGACACACACAGACACAGACACACACAGACACAGACACAGACACACACAGACACAGACACACACAGACACACACACACAGACACACACACACAGACACACACACACACAGACACACACAGACACAGACACACACACACCCAACACCCTGTCAGGATCCTTGACTTCCTGCCATAGAACATGGCAGGGCAGGGCATGGAGGCACTGGAACTGGCTCCCGGGCCGGCCTTGTCACCTCCTGCCTGAGTGCATGCCTGCTACTTACTCCCTACTCTGCCTGGGGAAGTTTCATAACCACATCAAGAATCAATGGCTGAAAACACATGAAGACCATACCTAGATATCACTGTAGTTGCAAAACCCACTTCTTTAAGAGTTAACATCTACTGTGACCTCTAAGGATCTGTCTTTATGACATGTGTGTGCCCAGGCTGGGTTGGCCCCAGCTGAGCTGGGCTTTCCAGCTGAGGTGGCACAGAGCCAGTGAAGGGTCAATCTCCATAAACAGCATTTTTTTTTTAAAGTATAGATTTGTTTTGGGGCATACCTATTCTCAAACAAAAAAAATCATGGGTTGTTTGTCCAAAATACACATTTAATTAGGCATCTTGCATTTTTACTGGCTGAAGCTGGCTTCCCTATAGAGGGTGGTTAATGGTCAGTCTGTCACGCATGCAAAGACCCAGGTCTGAAATGGCCTGTCCGAAAGTCACAGATGTTATTATGGAGCTTGGAAATCCACAGTGTTAGACAACTGTGAGGGTCACTCTGTTACACAGGGATATCTTACATAGGCGGATGGACCAGAGCCCTGCCCACCTGTGCCTTGGCTTCCCTCAACATTGCCCCCTACAGGAAACTTGCCACCGTGGGGGGGCGTCCTTTGCTGGAGTGGAGTCACACGAGAGTCTCTCGTGTGATTAAACCCTAACGGAATGCTCTCTGTGTGTTTGCAGGTTCTTTCTGAAGTTCTTCCTCAAGTGCAATCAGAACTGTTTGAAGAATGCAGGCAACCCTCGGGATATGCGGCGGTTTCAGGTATGCCTGCCGCGTGTGCCCGCGACGGCTCTTCTGGGGAACTGGAATTCTTTGGTGTTGCCCTTGTTCGGAGGGCGACTTTCAGTCTTCCGAGGGATAGTAGCAAACCAGATTTGGGTCATTTGGTAGAGTAGGGTAAACAGAATGCCTTAAAAATGACCTGGTGTTTCCACGCTACCGGTTCTCGTTCTGGCTCACCACCACAACCTGAATGAGCTGTGCTTTGCTGACTCAGCCATGCTGAACGTCTTTGTGGGATTGGCCTTAGTGAGAGGGAGGAAATGGTGGTGGAACCTTTTGGTTTTACTGGAGGTCTTTAGCCTCCTTTGGAAAGGGCACATTCCAGAATGTTCTCCTATAGCTTCCTCTTCCTCCCCTCAAGTTCTGTGGTGTCTGACTTCCCGAGTTCAACGCCAAGCTGCTAGGCAGTTCCTGGACCCGGGTGAGGTCCTGTTCCTCATGGCAATGGAGGATTTTCAACTGCAAAGGAGAGAGTTGCTGGTTGAGTTCTCGGATTAGTTATAAGAAAGTTAACATTGTTGCTTGCTTATGACTGATCAGGGGCTGTCCATGCCCCACCACAGAGTTGAGCAGCAAGCGGAAGTGCCTGACGCCTTGCATGGGTTAGTGAGCGATTCTCGCTTGGATGTGGGCTCTGTCTCCGTCAGGGGGCTCACACGTTGGCAGGGATGTCATGTGTGTATCAGTCCTTCACGGACGTACGCTGTCTCCCACCCCTCTGGCTGCCCAGGGAGGATGGCCCCCGCAGGCTACCCCACAGTGGCCTTCGTGGCTGGAGTTAGTATTTCTTGCAGACTCTTGGGCCTGCTTCCATTTTTCATGCACAGGCTCCACGGGGCCTGGGCCATATCGATCCCTCTAAGCAGAGTGTAGGTCGCAGCGGGCAGCACGAAGGGCCACGTCCTCTTTGTCTCACTTACGACCCAGCACAGCATCAGTTACGGCCATCTCGTGGGGGTACCGTGGGGCCTGTGCGGATGGGTGGGACTTGCTCTGGCCTCCTCTCAGCAGGTAGAACTGTCAGGCCTCACGCATGGGTGGAGCTGGTCTCATGGTCACAGCCAACACCTTCCCATAGATGTGCTTCAGGGCTGGCCCAGGCGGAAATCAAACAGCCAGTCTACTTTCTTGGTGCTGCTGTTTTCCCCTGGCAGCTGACCTATATATAGACGACAGAGCAACGACAATGTCTTTTTTTGTTTTCTATTTTGATTTTTACCTTGTCTTATTTCTTTACCATATTGTGGCCAAGTCTCTGCCTCCGTATTGGTCAGGTATCTATCACACACAGATGAATGGCTCCTGGAGCTCCTTCCACACCAAGAGTAGGGCTTGCAGGTAGGCCTCAGGAGGGCAGCGGGCAGTGGGCAGTGAGCACCTTGTGGTCTCCAGGCAGAGAGGGCCAGACTAACAAGCAGCACCAAAATGGCAAGGTAGCTGCCCCCCTGCCAGTTCCAAAGACAGTGCCAGTATGCTGGAGCCTGAGAGAGGCCGGGGAAGCCCGGACTGGACTGCCCGGCAAGTGACCAGTACTGGGAGCCGTGGTTCTGCTGGAGACGTGTTCCATTCACGGGGCCCGGTGTTGGGGCGGCTTCTGCTACCCTGCCAAGCCTGAGGGCAGGGGGCCAGGGCAGTAAAAACCAAAACCCCATTTACACACATTCATGTTAAAGTGTGCAGCTTTGGCTTCTCTTTGTCCTCAACATATTTATTTTTGTCTTTAATCACTTCTATTCGTTAATTTTTAAAAATTATTTCATTAGTCTCATTTATTAATAGATTTTTCTCTTAGAGAAGCTCCACGTCTGTATCAAAAAGTTCTACAGTGGGTTTAGCATGCTCTCTGCTTTGCCCGGTGGCTCTCCCCAGAGTTGGCCTGTTATTCAGATACTTGGTACAATGCACACACCTCGCCCTGAAGCCCTACTGCTGGTTAGTGCACAGGAGGGAGGGGCTCTGTAGCCTTGGCTTTCGCCTTCCGGTCACTTCCTTCCTGACACATGCTTGCAGGTCTACCTTAGCTGTGACCTTTGTCAGGTCTCTCCTTTTTCAAATCCAGACTCCAGCCCCAGGCAGGATCCTGCTGAAAGGCCCAGGTTAAACCTGAGCTTCCATCTTTACTGCTCCAACCCTGTGGCAGTAACACAGCACACCAGCTACAGAGAAGTGTCAAGGTCAGGTTGTACCTGCTGTTTCCTAGCTCTGTAAGGGGTGCTCGCTACAAGACCACCGGGGGAACCTAGGTGTGCCTGGCACAAGCTAGGTGGTACCCTAAGGTGGGCCGCTTGTCATGATCTCCTGAGAGGTAGCTGAGAGTTTTGAAAGGCCTGATCTTCCCCTTCTCCCAGTTGAAC